AAAATATATATTAGATATTAAAAACATATTTATATCATAAATAAATTAAACTGGATTTTTATAAAATTTAACATATTTATTTTTATATTTTTAATAGTGTTATAAAGATGGAATTTAAAATAAAATTTATAAAATTTAACATTGTAAATTATTCAATAATATGTGATCTGATAACTCAAAAATTAAGTTATAAAATGATAATTATATTTATTTATATACTCTAACACATCTTACATACAAGATAAATTCATAAGTTTGTTGAAAGATAAATTTATATTCTAATCACGATTTTGAAATTATATAAAGAAGAAAAAAAATCGTGTACCTCATGTTAAAGGAAGTATATATAAAATTGTTAATAAAATATAAGTTTATTAAGATAATATACATAATACTTTAAAAAAAATTAATTTTAATAAAAAAAAATTGTCTTGTAAATTGCGACGGTTTATAGTAAACCGTTGTAATGCTAAAAATTTTGCGACAGTTTATGACTAACTGTCGCAATGTTAAAAAACATTTGCGACGGTTTATGATTAACTGTCGCAATCTTTAACAAATTTTGCGACGGTTTACAATAAATCGTCGCAATGTTGAACAATTTTGCGATGGTTTTTGATAAACCATCGCAATGTTAAACAAATTTTGCGACGGTTTATGATAAACCGTCGCAATGTTCTACAAATTTTGCGACGGTTTTGAAAAACTGTCGTATGAAGGGTCGCAATATCAAAGCGACGACGGTTTCTAGATAACCGTCGCAATTTGTCCGTCGCAATTTATCATTTTCCTTGTAGTGTGTGGGGGGCTTCAGTCGGATATAGACCGAGTACCTCTAAAAGAGGGTCAGTCTACGTTCTAATCAGTCTGCCATATGTGGTGAGGTCGAGTCGGATCACGTTGACCAATCGGATACCGACCGGGACGGTCCACTTGCCTTCCAGCTCTGAGCCTAGAAGGCGATAGGGCTTGAAGTCGAGTTCTTGATCGCGTGTGGGCCTAAGTCGGACACGGGAAGGATCCGGTCGGAATCTGACTGGGACAGTACACTTGCCTTCCAGCCCTAAGCCTTGAAGGTGCAAGGGCTTGGCTATGTGCGGGATGTACCCAAGTCAGAATAGAACCAACCAGAGGGTCAGTCAAGGTCGCAGTCGGCTTGGCACCTTTAGGGGACACAGTTCGGCGTTCAACCCGCTCGGGTACACTTGCCTTCCAGCCCTGAGCCTAGAAGGCGAGAGGGCTTAGTTATGTCTGTGGTAAACCCAGGTCGGCATATAGCCGACCAGATTTTGCGCGAAGAGGCTAAGTCGACAAATAACCGATTGACTTTTGTAGGGATGGTCCGTCGAGGTCCTAGTCAGTCTGGGATCATTGGGTGACACAGGTCAGAATCCGACCGAGACTAAGGCAACGGTCACTTGGTTTGTCATCGGTGGTATTATATTATAACAAATTTAGATTTACGAGTATTTTTTTTTTGGTTGATTTGAGAAGAAGGGTTATCAATTACTCTAAGGTGGATCTACGATTGAGTCATTAAACAACTAGAATATTATTACTGGTTGTTTAATGCTAAGGTAGTTGGATCAACTTATCATAGATGATGTTTGTTGGATGCCTTATGACAACCATTCTACAATATGATTGTTTCTCCCAATCTTTTTATTATCTTGTTTCCTTGACAACCATTCTACAATATGATTGTTTCTCCCAATCTTTTTATTATCTTGTTTCCTTAGTATGGGTACATTCAAACTATTCACTAATTGTCATAAAAGCTTCAAGTTGTACTTATAGCACTATGCTTTTTCATATATGTATGTTTATATGACATTTTTTGTTGTTTGATTTCTATAGTTATGTTTGGTCATCTAGTAGAACTCTAATAGTCAAGGAAGTTAAGTTGTAGAGAGTAATTTGAGTTGAGGTCAAGTTTGATCAATAAGGGGGAGAGGTATATAAGGGTTTTTGGAAACCACAATTTCATGTTTCATTTTTCAGAAATCTTAAAGAGAAGTTAGAAAGAGGTGCTCTAAAACCAGGAAGAACATTTCTAAACTGGATCCTCCAAAAGCATTTATACCTTTCCCTAAAGTTGTATTGAGTTTAAGAAGTATATTCAAACCTTGTAGAACTTGGATTTAAGGAGAGAAGTCGACCCTTTGAGGGTTTTATTGTTAATTTTCTCATTGATAGCTTGTATGTTGAAATTTTAGGAGATTGAAGTTGTGTTGAAAATTGGGGTTTAAGAGTTGTTAGATAAAAAAACTTAATGATGTTAGATTTTAGAGCCCATGTTGTTGTATGTATGATTTGAGGCTCTTTTGGAGTTGTTTATGTTGTTTGGTGTAACGACCCGCCACGGTCTTTACACTTAGTGGAATCGCACTACAACTAGTTAACTAAGAGAATATTAAACTGGATAACACATACCTACAGGCATAAATATAAAGATCAAAATAATTAAGTTTCTGTATATAAAATATAGCGTAGTTGGGCCCTTAGCCCATGGGCCTCCTCCATCATTTTGCCTTTTCACTCTGTGGACAAGATATTAAATGAGAGAAAATTTGTTAGATCAACACAACGTATCAACAACTAAAGACACAAATATTGGATTACAATGATCCACCATCTTTTTGTCTATTTTCTGGAAGAACAGTGAGGGTGCCTGCATGCTTTTCTTTTGGAGTGGTCCACAACAATTCAGCACTTTGAATATTCATTTCTGTAACTTTGATCTTTGTGGTATCTTAGCATTTCTTATGAATTAAGTTAAAACAGTTTCATTTTTCTTGCGCACCTTTGCTTGTCTGAGTTTGTATTCATAATTTTTAAGATGGCATGTTTAAGTCAGCATTAGAAGTTCGACGAAGACTCATTCGAAAAGATTTTGAACGGCTTTACTCTCAAACCTGGGAATCTGACATGAAACATTAGAATATTTTTTACCAGCTAAACTAAAATATCACGCTACAAGGTACCATACGTTGAAAAAGGACATCTAGATTCATTCTTATGTGGTCTTATAACATGATTTCCGTTAATATAAATTGAATTTATATAAATATCAAACCTTCGCATTTCTGGAGAAAATTGCAGCAAGTTCTATTTAAATGCCGACATAAAATGCAAAAAAGGCCTTGTACTATCACAATACAAAGAAATGATCAGAAGAACCACGTGTTATTATACCATATGGAAACTGTAATGTATTTGTAGCACTCACATTGCAATATTTATATTTACATTACATCATTGTACATTGATTCAACTTTCAAGCTTGAACCAAATTTGGCATGATATACAGATTTAACTAATTTTGTACATGTAGAACCGAAATTCAAATTACAACTACATGTAAACTGAAGCCTTAAGTGTGCAGAATAAAGCAGAAGACCCAACCCGTCTGATTTCATGAGGAACACATTTGTCAATCTGGGACTTCATGAATTCATTTCTAAAACCCATCTTTATATTTCAATGGCTCAATTGTTGTATGTATTTATCGAGTTTAGATACTAAACTCTTCAAAAAAAATTCTCAATTTTATGTACCATGAAGATAAAAATGCGTAAAGCCTTCCTTTCTTTTTCCCTAGTACAACAGCAAAAAATCGATAACTTTTGCAAGACCCTTAAAACCCTCACGCCCTCGCATCTTTCAGATATAGTTCAAGTTACATACAATTCAACATCAGTTCTTCAATTGCGTAAGTGGACTTTTCCAACACGTCTGATGATGCTAAATTTTCTGGCAAGTAAAGCACAGCATCACTAGCATTAAACAGTTTTTAATAAAATAAACAAACTACGGTCAGTATGCTAAATTTTTAATAACAAATCAGTCCGCCAGACAAGGGAGCAGAAAAAAATTAGCTTAAAAAGCTACTTCCCAAAAAATTACATAAAATCTAAAACTAAAGTAACTGATACTGAACCAATGACAGTGAGACCTCAAAAACCATTTAATATAATCAAATAATGTTTCCTCAATGTAAATTACAATCGCACTGTATTCCACCACCAGCACTCACCAAATCTAACATTCATTGGCAGGGAAAAGGATGACAAAAAATATAGGACAAAGGCGAGGAAAGAAACACAACGAAAACCCACCTAAAAAATTTCATGCAAGCAATATACAAAATACACAAAACAAAGAATAAGAAAACAGTCAAAACCAACGAATTTCCATTTGAATGAACTGCTAATCGTGAGTGGAATCAATTGATTTTCCTGTCCTTGCCTGTGAGATTCGATTCGCATAAATGGTGACCAACTTCAACTGTGTGCTGTTAAGCCCTTGTAAATATGGCAAAAATGCTTTCCCAAGCATGATATAAATATCCACAAGACAGAAAACAACGGTCTGTACCATACACAATTAACATAAAATGAGAATAATGAAAGAGAAGAGACCGTTATGAAAATGGAGAAAAATGACAGCAAAAACATGCCAACAATTTCTAGCAATAGAAATAAGATCAATCATCCAATTCAAAGAAACTGATCTTTAAGATCCATTCATATTAATCTAATTTGGCTCATCTAAAGTAAGTAATGGAAATTTAATTTAGAGAATAAAGTACAATTTCAGTCATTAATTAGAAAAATAATTTTTGAGATTTTGAGAGCTTCATAGATTATCATACATTAGCATATATTTTATTAAATTCCCAACTAATGATTTTCTAATCAATTGATATATAACTGCATTTTATCCTCCAAAGTACACATTTTAACTTCAAAAGAGTTAAATCCATATTAAACGCCCCTCGTGTTTATTATTAGTTTATCATCTTGAAAACAACTAAAAGTTTACTGACCAGATTTGCCACATGAAAGAAATGTACATTAGTTAGTGCAATATTTAGCTGTAATTATATTTAATTGTAGAGAGAATTGTGACTAGAGTGTTGTAAGAGTAGCATGTATAGAAATGAGATAGAACCCAATTCAAACTAGCAAATATAGTTTATGATTATGTCATTTGAATTATGTTGTCATAGTTTATCTTTAGAATTATGTTATTTGAATTTTTTATCATAAGTTATCCTTAGGATTTATCTATTATCAATTTTAGGGAGTTAGTGAGGGAGAGGATAATAAATATAGAGTAGCCTGAGAGAGAGAGAGAGAGAGACAGTTTAGGGGAGAATTTTTATTGGACTGTAATTGGAGTCGATGCTCTGGGAGAGGGAGGCAAGTAGATTAATTCAGCTTATAAGTAACCTTTTTCATAGTCCAACTCTCAACGAAAACACCATTTGTGGGACTTGAGCACATGAGGAGAACCCAACCCAAAAGACTGGTCCATTAAGTGAGAAAATCTAATCCAAAAGACTAGTTCACTACTCCACTATGTGCACTTATCAAATCTTTCTATCAAGCATAGCAAGCTTGGCAGGTCAGGTATACTATTACCATCAACATGACATACACAAGGTTTGACCCTTGAAAATGATAACTTCCCAGCATAAGATTATATTGGGTTAGCTAGAGTGATTTTTGTTTCAATTTACGGGGATCGGAATGGAATACGCATTCCATTATCATGCCACTCTGCCCATACATTTAGTATGCCAAATTTGACTGCATTGTCAGAATAGAATGAGAACAAAATGAAGGTAGTGGAGGAGATACCAGTAGTAGTGGTGCTGTGGCATAAATGGTGGCCAAGGGTATGGGTTGGGCCAAATGTGAGATCAATGGGTTGGATGGAACTACAGTGGCAGTTGCAGCGATTGGGGTTGTTGTAGAAGAGATGGTGGGATGTAGTTCAACGGGCAGTGGGACAACAATTGGTGCTAGTGGAGATTTTCGTTCAAAAAAATAAAAATAAAAAGATATTTTGATAACTAAACTAACCCTTGATGGAATGGAATGGGCAATTCTAAGGAATGAACACTAGGTATTTGTGTTTCAATAGTAGCCACCAATCCAGAGAATCAATTGTAACCTTAAGTATTATTCTAGCAATTTTCCCAATATAGTTTTCCTTTCTCAAGTATATCTGAAACTAACCATTTCAATAAATTTTCTAATAAATTAAATTCAACTATTGGAGTCGTCCATGTGGCAGAAAATTTAACTAAAATTGATAGAAACAAAAGCAGATAGTTTGCGTAGCCATAGCAAACCCTAGTGATTAAAAGCAAGAAAGAGGTTACCAAATGTTGGAATAGATTGATACTAAATTAAGTACAAATTCCCAAATAGGCCTCAAGCATCTACTCTCCAGTTGAATAAATTTGTTGGAACTACACCGTACATACACCACTTTACAATTTTACCAGACTGATAAGAATTTTATTTTACCACCAAATTTTCATTAAATATATGAAAAGGAGAACCATTAATTCATGGATGCAGATGAAAAACCTAAGTACCTTGCGAACATCAGCACTCTGGTTTCCAAAAGCTTCAAACAAAGCAGGCAGAAAAGAGGGTAACTGAGCCATCAGTTCCTCCTGAGAGAGAAGCCCCACAAGCTGAAGAAGGGCATAATATGAAATTAAATATGATTATGTTTATTAAGCAAATTTAATTCATGCACAAATATGGGCAAATTCTAAGTAATACGGGTACAATATGATACAAAATTTAATTCAGTATGTGTTATTAGTATGAGATATTCATGTGGTTTCTACTTAGTATCACTAACTGATATGTGAGATTTTATGTTTTTCCTGAGAATGAAAATGTCAGCAGGATATAGTCAATATAAAGTATGTCATAACCAAGGAATCAAGTATTCAGGACGCGTTGATCTAAGAGTTCAAAATTAAAAGAAATGACTTGTTAGGTGAAAAAACAAGAGGTACCTATGCTGTATGCATAATTTTAAATAAACAAATCAGCAGGATATGCTTTCATAAGCAGCATAAGCATAATGACATTGGATGAGTATGAAGAGTTATTTCCCCATTTTGAAGCACCGTTGCTTCACAGACAGGACACTTCAAGAACAGAACAGAACAAGGTTTTCTAAGAAATATGCATATTAGAAAGTGGAATTCATTAAAAATTTGAGTTAGGTTTAAATCTAACTCAACCCTACAAAACTGGTTTGTAAAACAAGAATTATCCACCACTTATATACACTATTTTGGCCCTCTAAAACACACTATTTTCCCAGACAGGACGCTTCAAGAATAAAACAGAACAAGGTTTTCTAACTTCTATGAAATATGAAAATTAGAAAGCCGAAAGTTCATAGATAATATGGTGGGTGACCCATTAATAGATATAGAATAGGTTCTAATATCACTTAAAATATGAATATGAACCCAATTCAACCTTACAAAACTGATTTGCCAAATCCAAAAAAAAAAATTTATTTCAAGACGCAAAAACAAAATCAAAAGGTTCAAACAAACATAGCTAAGAATGATTAACAAGAAATGAACTACACATGACTACTAGACATGGATTCAAAATAAAATGACTCAAACATGTAATTGACCGAATAAAATTTCAAATATGACTCAAGAAAAACCAAAACGTTCTTAGGCAGAAAATTCCTATTAAGCACAAGAAGAGAGCATGATTCATGGAAGCATATAACATAGGCGCATATATGAATCATTCAAGCAACAAGAAACTAGATCCATCAAATTTAAGGCAAAATTAGATCTAGGAAGGAGTAAACTCAAAAGTGACAAAAA